AGATTTTGAGGGTAAAGTAATTTTCACTGAATGATGAAGTGCACAGACACATCGTTTATAACGAGCACTGCTACAAATGAAAATAAAAGTACATTTTCATTTCATCCCGACTTAGGATTGAACCTGGGATCAATACCAGACAGAGTTTTGAATCCAGCTGAATGGGTTAATTGTGCTGCTGAAGTGGTAAATGCGTGTATATTGGCACGGTTGACCTGCAGCGTGAGCTGGAGTAGAGCTGTTCTCCACATTTTCTCCAGGGATTTTCTTTTTAAATGAAAAAAACTAGCAGAGCCAGATTTTCTAACCACCAACATTCCAACCATCTCTAGAAGTTGCAAAGCTCTCAATAAACCAGTTCTGTCTCACCGCCAACATCTGAGGAGCGGAGGGTTTCATTCGTGCAGCTGGTGATGTGTCTTCAGGCTGTACTCCAGACACTGCTGAGAGACACGTGTAGATGAATATACATCCAAACCTTTCTGAAGACTAGCCTTTACATTGTGCTCGTCTGGAAAATGCGTATTGATAGGTATTTGGTCTAAGAAAAGCATTGCAGTGTACATATGTGCTGCGCTCATTCCTCTCAATAACGAACAAACCAGACAGATTAAAGAGAGAATACCAGTATAAGAAGCATCTGATCAGAGCCATGCAGACATGATAACACTGCTAAATAATAAAGGCAGCGTCACTTTCAGTTAGAGGTGAACTTCCCATAAATCAGACCTCCAGTGTTTGCTATTGCTCAAGTCTGACCTCGATGGACTGAACAGAAGAAACAAACTGGAGCCCGTTTCTACATTGAAGAGGGCGGAGCCTCAGAGCCACATCCACCAATCACAGAGTCACGTTTACCAGCTGGAGTAAACTCATTCAGCTTCCTGGAAACTCTGAACAGCTGTGTTCTGGCCTGATTCACGTCAGTATAACATCACACCGGTGCATTGCAGCTTCACAGTCCTGGGTACAGTGATTGCCACTCTGTGATGTCAAAAACCTTCAACAAAAACACCTTCAACTAGTACATGTGAGATATAAAGAGAAAACATATCACTTTTCAAAAGCAGGGTCAGGGTCACTCTCATGTTTTAGGAAGACTCGTCTCAGTGCCAGATCCCAGAAGTTCTAAACTCTAAACCTCTGAGCAGGACTGTGTACCGGCCTCTCTTCATTCAGCCAGCGCCAGACCCTCTAGCTCTGAAATGACCCGTAATGCTTGCCAGCTGTGTGCGTCTTCCAGCACAGTCCTCCATAAAGCCATGCAGATGCACAGCACATGTTCAGGCGAGTTCTGCAAAGTCATCCCGAGGACAGAGCAGGAGCGAAGCGTCCGCTAATGAGCTCAGGAAACGAGCAGAGCCTCAGCCGCGGCCATAAAGCCGTCTGTGATCTTCAGGAACGGCTGTGGGTCAGCGGATGAAGCCCTGAAGCCCCACTGAGCCTCATAAAGCGGACGGGCTTGTGTTAAAGCTGCTCTCACCCTGCGTCTGCTGTCTAATGTCCATTCCAAATCTGATTTGTGAAACCGCTCTTCCCCGGTTGTCGTCGTGGTCAACTCCTCTCTGCGCCTCAAGTCCACCAACAAACACGATGAGCTAACTGGACAAACTGGTTGCAGTGGGAAAGCCCTCCACATGGAGGTAAGCGGTCAGCCGGTAAACGCCAAAGGAACGCCGTCATACCGCCCTGTAGTGTTCGTTTAAAAAAATGAAATGCAGCCATACGTACCTCCGGCTACATAATTCACAGTCTCCAGACACGTCCACAGGACTGTAGTGTGCATCCACTACATGTTCCTCAGAGGAGTCTTAAACCCTCTGCTATTTTTACCTCCAGCACCATCTTCAAATCACTTGTGGAGCGATGCTCAAATACAAACATGAGACGCAGCACCATGGCCAGAGTCCTCCATCAGGGGGATATTTATAGTGGCCAGGACTTAAAGAGGATGAGTTAATGACTCTCACTAACACCAAGTTAGCAAGATGGATTTCTACAGCACCTTTCACAGAGAAGACGTCACACAGTGCTTTACTGCAATACAACACAGATCAAAACTGGTTAAAACCCAACTGCAAATAACAGCAGATGCAGATCCAGCTCTGGTAATTAAACGCTTGTCCAACACGATGTGTCCTTAGCTGTTTTAATGAGAGACAGTGGTGTTCTGTGTGCTCATTCACAGTCTCTTTATAGTCATGCCACAATAGCAGAGTTAGATCATCAAACACTGAGGAGAAATGAAGAGGGCAGCACAGACATTCTGAAACACTACAGGAGACGCATCACAGAGCTGTAATCGCCGCTATTATTGTTAAAATACATTTAGTTTTTATATCGTTCAGAGAAACTCAAGACCGTGATGAAACAAAACCCTGTGAGAAAGTAGACTAGACTTTATATTGCTGAAGCACTTTGTCCTCTAACTACACTATCAGGTGAATATCGGAGACACGAGCACTCTGTGGACTTGAGGATAGCGTGCTCCGTCTTATCAGCGAGGGTGATGGTGTAGATGATGATCATTAATAGCTGTGAATGCAGAGGCTGTGGTTAACCCTGTCCAGGTTAATATCTGCCTTTATCAGGGAGTGTCTCTGATGACCCCGACACACAGGACACACAGATCACTGCGCTCGCTCCCGCGCCTCACACACTCAAGTGTTGGGGAAGTGCTGCATGTTTGCAGGAAGTCTTCACTCAGGAAGAGGAGAAGATAAATCAGACAGAGGAGACAGAGAGACACGACACTGAACATCACTGAGGAGCAGCTTTCCATCACCACACACACACACACACACACACACACACACACACACACGTTTTTCCCTGAGGTGGCCTACATTTCCTCTGGTCTAACTCCACCACTGAAGGCTTTTGTGAGTCAGTCATGGAGTCATTTAAGCGAATCAGTCTGATGACAGACCTCAGCTCAGACAGAGGCCTAATGGTTAGTGAGCTGGACTAGTTAGGCAAAGGTTACAGGTTAAATCAGGAGATCAGGCTTCTGGCTACTCTGTTATCCAGACGTCTTCATTTAAACTGTACATTCAGCAGAATATATTTCCATTATTCCTTTAAAGTCAGCAGGAAATGAATGTTCAGATTGTGTTTTTCCTCTTACCGAGACGTACATCCTCTCGAAACTGTCCTGACGTAAATAAATAAATGTAGGACGGTGCATGAGCCTGTTCTCTGGGAACCGGCTGGATCTCCACCTTAAATGACTGATAGTTCCACCTTAAATGACTGATAGCTCCACCTTAAATGACTGATAGCTCCACCTTAAATAACTGATAGCTCCACCCTAAGTGACTGATAGCTCCACCTTAAATAACTGATAGCTCCACCTTAAATAACTTATAGCTCCACCTTAAATGACTGATAGCTCCACCTTAAATGACTGATAGCTCCACCTTAAATGACTGATAGCTCCACCTTAAATAACTGATAGCTCCACCCTAAATGACTGATAGCTCCACCTTAAATAACTGATAGCTCCACCTTAAATAACTGATAGCTCCACCTTAAATAACTGATAGCTCCACCTTAAATGACTGATAGCTCCACCTTAAATGACTGATAGCTCCACCTTAAATGACTGATAGCTCCACCTTTAATGACTGATAGCTCCACCTTAAATGACTGATAGCTCCACCTTAAATGACTGATAGCTCCACCTTAAATAACTGATAGCTCCACCTTAAATGACTGATAGCTCCACCTTAAATGACTGATAGCTCCACCTTAAATGACTGATAGCTCCACCTTAAATAACTGATAGCTCCACCTTAAATGACTGATAGCTCCACCTTTAATAACTAATAGCTCCAACCTAAATGACTGATAGCTCCACCCTAAAGGACTGATAGCTCCGCCCTAAAGGACTGATAGCTCCACTCTAAATGACTGATAGCTCCTCCCTATAGGACTGATAACTCCGCCTTGAAGGCAATTAATGTGACCAGAGGTGAAGAGCAGTTGTTTTGAGGGGGAGAATGTTATAATCATTTAAAGATTCTGATGGCAAATAAATTTGTACTAAATATTGGAGTGCACAGACACATCAATTATAACAAGCATATATTTATTTAGAGAGCTGTGGGCATATAAAAATAAGAAGAGTACATTTAGATTTCATTCTGACTTTACAGCTCTCACACTCAGTTCTGAACAAGACAGTTAATATTCAGTAATGTTACTGTTCTGGCCTCACCTCACTCGCTCTAGATCGGAGACTGTGTGTGTGTGTGTGTGTGTGTGTGTTTTGTTGGTGTATTTTCATCATCTCCTCATGAATGCACATTGTGTTGAACATCATGTAAGTTGAGCTTCTGTTCTGCCTCAGTTCTGGTGAAGCAGCAGGATGAGTGTGTTGTGTGTGTGGTGTTCTTTAAGGAAGTGTGTGTGTCTAATAACCAACACATGACCATCACATGATCGCTCTTACTTCCCGTGTGAAACTGCTGTATGAAGGCCAAAATACACTGCGCCCGCATAGTGTTCACAGCACTCAGTGGATTCAGTTCAGTATTTTCCTAAAGTTTACACACTGAAACATCCACAATGACAAGGGGAAAGACCACTCCACTGCTGCGCCTTGCCTTTATCAAAGCCAGAAACCTCTGTGTGGATTATGGATGCGCTTCAGCATGACCTGCGACAGCCTCCATCAGGGGTGTCCATACGCCAGTGGATGTGCTCCGGTTTCCCCCACAGTCCAAACACATGCGCTATAGGGGAACTGATCAACTACACTGACCACAGTCTATGAGTGTGTATGGGTGTTTCCCAGTGCTGGGTTGCAGCTGGAAGGGCATCTACTGTGTAAAACATATGCTGGAATAGTTGGTGGTTCATTCCACTGTGGTGACCCCTGATTAATAAAGGGACTAAGCTGAAAAGAAAATAATGAGTGAATAAACACTGTCTGTTTCTCTTGTGTGTGTGTGTGTGTGTGTGTGTGTGTGTGTGTGTGTGTGTGTGTGTGTGTGCAGCATGGGTGGGCTCTCTGTCGATGGGCATGATCTTCTTCTGCTCTCCAATCGTCAGCGTGTTCACGGATCTGCTGGGCTGTCGGATCACGGCTGTGGGGGGAGCTGCAGTGGGCTGTGTGGGGCTGCTGGCCAGTTCATTCGTCACGTGAGTACAGCTTACTCCACCTGCAGACCAACGCTGACGCTGACACACCAGCCCTCATACACACATCATCTCATCTCATGGTGTATATTAGCGTCTCTTCTGTTCTGTTTGTGTCTCATCTCGTCTGCTTTCATTTGTCTCATCTTTCCTCCTCTTGTCTTCTCTAGACTTGTCTTGTGTTTCCCCGTCTTGTCTTCTTTACCTCGTCTCGTCTCTGTCTCGTATTTCTCATCTCATTTTGTCTGGTCTGCTTAAATCTCGTGTTTTCTCTCGTCTCTCATCGCCTCTTCCTCAGCTGAGGGTGAACTCTTGAAGCAGCATTGTTGTGTGTGCAGGTCTCTGGGCCCGATGTACTTCACCTACGGGATAGTGTTCGCGTGTGGCTGCAGTTTTGCGTATCAGCCGAGTCTGGTGATCCTGGGCCACTACTTCAAGCGCAGGCTGGGTCTGGTGAACGGCATCGTGACGGCGGGCAGCAGCGTGTTCACCATCACGCTCCCGTACATGCTGTCGGGCCTGCTGAAGAGCGTGGGGCTGTACCACACGCTGCGGGTGCTGGCCATCTTCATGTTCATCCTCATGCTGGCCGGACTCACCTACAAACCCCTGCTGCCCAAACCCGTCAGCAGCAGCAAACCCGGCAGCCGCTGCCCTCCGCTCAGCAGGATCTTCAACGTCAACATCTGGAAGTCTCTGGGCTACCGCATATGGGCCTTCGGCATCCCGGCGGCCCTCTACGGGTACTTTGTGCCTTACGTTCATCTGGTGAGTGCTCAGACCGCCTGACATCTTAAACAAGACAGACAGGCAATATGAAGATTTGCTTCTGCTAGAGCTGATCAGACAGGTAGTTTAGCCACTATTACCAGTTTAACAAACTATTAACATCATCTAAAATTAGTCTGATGAATATCTGTATAGGGGCGGCGCAGTGGCGCAGTAGGTAGTGCTGTTGCCTCACAGCAAGAAGGTCGCTGGTTCGAGCCTTGGCTTAGTTGGCATTTCTGTGTGGAGTTTGCATGTTCTCCCTGCGTTCGCGTGGGTTTCCTCCGGGTTCTCCGGTTTCTCCCACAGTCCAAACACATGTGGTACAGGTGAATTGGGTAGGCTAAATTGTCCGTAGTGTATGTGTGTGTGTGTGAATGTGTGTGTGGATGTTTCCCAGAGATGGGTTGCGGCTGAAAGGGCATCCGCTGCGTAAAAACTTGCTGGATAAGTTGGTGGTTCATTCCGCTGTGGCGACCCCTGATTAATAAAGGGACTAAGCTGACAAGAAAATGAATGAATGAATGTCTGTATACTGGAATGGAGCTTAGATGTTTTTACTTCTATTATTGGCCAAAAGCATGATCCAGGCATGTCAGAAAGGTTTCTCAACCACACTGAAACATCAGGACACACTCACACCTTCTTCCTCAATATACAATAATAAATAATAATAATAATAATAATAATAACATAATAATGATAATAATAATATAATAATAATAATATAATAATAATAATAATAATAATATAAAAATAATAATAATAAAATAATAAGAATATTAATATAATAAGAATATAATAATAATAATTATAATAATAATAATATAATCCATAATAAAAGCTCAATGAAATGACCCCAAGATTTCCCTCAGGCCATTGGCAGATAATTCAGCTTATTTTAGGGAAAACTCTCTTCATTAATTCTGAACACATCACTACATGTTCTGCTTGTCTAGAAATGCTTCTGGATTTAAGAGTTTGTTGATATTTTGACTAGAAACAGGACAGACAGTCTAACGGTGTGTTCACACTGAAGGCGGTGAGAGTGTCAAAGTTGTCTGTGGCCGCCCTGGCGACAACACGGTCTGCCTCCCGCTCCCCCAGCCAGAGCGTCAAGATTCACTAAACTGATCTGGGATATAGAGGAGCCGCAAATCAGTCACATTCCCACATAAAACCTGCTTCTAGTGTGAAAACACTGTTGATCAAACTCCAATCGATTGAAGATCGAGCTGTTGTGTGCTGTGTGACTCTGAACATTAGATTAGATTAGATTCAACTTTATTGTCATTACACATGTACAAGTACAATGCAACGAAATGCAGTTTAGGTCTAACCAGCAGTGCAACAGCAGCAAGTGCAGGATACAGGAATAAGTTAAAAAGTGCAGTTATAGAAAACTATGGTGATATTTACAGATGGAGGTTCATGTCTGAGATATTCTGAGGCAGCAATACTGTTTTGTACTGTCGTTA